GTAGTCCTTGTAATGTCCTGGGAGGTCTCACAGCAGATGGAGGCTGTGGGGTATCGGCCCTTCACTACCTCTGTGGAGAGAAGTCTTGGTAGAATCTCCCATCGAGTTCAGGATTTGACTCAGTTCAGGTCAGTTCAGATGGTGCTGCTGTGGAGTGGATTAAAATGGACTGAGTAAATGGCTACAGCAAAGCAAAAAAAAAAAAAAATCCCACTTTACTAATCAAAATAACTAACTCCAGCACTTACAGTTTACACTAAATAAAAGATTAGTTTAACCCCTGACACAAGTTGTTTATAGGAAAGCTAAGTCACTTTCACAATACAACAAACACCCAAACAATATTAACATGGCATGTGCACTCTGTGAACCTACCGTTAGCAATGAACCCCTGAAGATAGCCTGGCATGCGGCGTTTGGTGTCACCTGAACAATCATCATTCTCACATGGCCATATAATGTGCTGAAGAAGTACCTGTATTGAAAAACTAAGCACAAGAAAGACTTGTATTATTTTCCCACTTCTAACATCCTTATATTGCACATCAGTTTTGCAGTCTTATTTATTTTCTTTGATCAAACATCACTAGTGGCAGTTTTGGATAACCTGATAATTCTGTTTGATGTGACATTATGTAGAAGACAGAAATAATAGGAATTAGAAAAGCCCTCGGAGAGCGCAGACCTCCGCTCAGCAGCTCGTTTCCACCGTATTGTGATTTCCAGCCAATGTTAAAGTCCTGCATTCATTTTATCTACACGATTAGATTCATGGAGAATCAAACATACCTTTAGCATTTGAATTAACATTGACATGATTAATAACAAGCTGACGAAGTGATGAATGGTCGTTCTGTACTCTCAAACTTTTTGACAGGAGACATGTTGAGTCATTGTTAATGTCACAACGTGGTTCTGAAGTGATCTGTCAGTAGGTCTGCTCAGCCCACTCCTGTGATGCTGCCTGGCTGCAGCTTCCTCCTGCTCCACTGAGAAGCCAGCAGTGAGGACTGAGGATTGAATGGAGTCAGAGCTCCATCTAGTGGACAAACGGCGCAACGACCGCATTCTGCGCGACTGTGATAGAACAGCATTTACTGGTTAATGAGAAAATAACCAGCTGGTAAGAAGGAGAATGATCAAAATTTAATCACCTGTTCATTGTGGTATTATCAACATTTTATAAAAATTTCATGAAAATCTGTTCTTAATTTTTTGAGGTATCTTGCTAACAACAAACAGATAAACACAGGCTAAAAAATAACCTCCTTGATGGAGGTAGAAATATTGAAAACGGACAGTAACAGATGCTGACCATGTAAAACCATATAATGATAATGCATTTTCTGGCGCATCCATCACACATCCTCTACATATCCATTTGTGTGCTTGTAAAATTGTTATTCAGGTACCCAGCTGCTGAACGTGCTGTCAGTGTGGCGTTCTTACTGTTTTTTGTCACTCAGATCTTGACATAAACTCACATGTAGTGCCTCTGTACTTGGTACAATACACTTTGGTTTAAGGCTGGCACAACTTTAGCCGTGCTAGCTAAACTGTAACCAGTGCAAATCGTTAAAAGCTCCTCAGGGGATATTATCCAATAAGAAACGTGTCCTGCATTACCGGTTACTGACTCTCAAAAAACAAACCACACAGAAGGCAAATAAAGGGTTAACATACTCACTGAAGCNTGGATCTGGACTTCTTAGCGTTCACCTGCACTCAAGAACTTGTGTTTTTAAATGCTTTATTCAGTCAAGTTTTGTGTGTGTGTGTGTGTGTATGTGTATGTATATATATGTGTGTGACCAATTGGCACGAAATCAGTCACGTTGTGCCTCGGGCTATCCGAGATACAGCCTGAATTACGTTAACACATGATGAAATATTGATTTTGAGTTTTTTACTTAGATCAATTGATTTAGTTGTTTTCTAAATGTCTGTAACATATTTTTACAGACCATAGTTATGTAACGTTCCATATCGGTGTCAAATACCGTTAGCGTGCATGAGCGGCAACACCAGAAAGAAGCTGCAGAAATCACTTGCGTGCAGGCACCACGATCAATGTGTCATTGCCAGCCAATCCTGTCCCATGATTTGCGTCATGTGGTAGCAACATGCTGCTTTTGTTTACGCATAGTAGCCCATTGTGTCAAGGTGCAGTGCAACTGTTTTCGTGCTGATGATCACATGTATGTATACACACAAGCTGAGATTGGCTGTTCTGTAACATTGCAAAGCACTATTATCCATTCACCAATGAGAAAATAAAATCACTCCAGTCCAGTTCATTTCTAACTCCTGCTTTATTTGCATACATTGATCATCGGA